ATTCCAAGTGAGATGCAAATTTGTGATGGAAAATTCTGAAGCACTTCTATCTTTCACAGTCAATATTCATTTGGAGGCCACATCCCATGTAACCATCATTCAGTGGACCATGAATGTTTCCACATTGCAGTCAGGGAGATCCTGGCAATGCACTCATGCATTTTATAGTGAGCAGTTCTAACCACTATGATGCTCTCAATACGTTCCTACTTCCATCTTCTGTCATCGCTAGTGAGTGCTCAAATTTGACCACACCCATTCTTTATTAATGATGAGCCAGGTTGGGGTGAGATGAGTGTGTTTACTTTGGAGTCATGGTGGCATTCATATTGTACCAATGTGAACCTGCAGGGCAGTGCAGGTGCTTGAAGATGAGGGCTTTCTCCTGCATGTTTGGTTCATCAATCATCCTGCATTACAATCAGGCCCATGAGCTGACCAGAGTCTTCTCTCAGCAGACTATCTGAGTCTTCAAGGAGAACCCCTGCTGCCTGACCTGGCCTGACAACTTTCGCCAGCCCAGTCCGGAGAGAATATATCATACTGTTATGGTTTGCTTCACCCTGTGGAAGTTTGTCTGTGCAATGGCAACCATGTGGGGTCTCTACCAGGTAATGTGTGAGAGTTTGGCCACACCTCCCTCAGTTCTTGCTGACTCTCTTCTGTACTATGCAAGCTGGATTTGCACAAAGACCAAAAATGGTTAATGTATGGCCTGTAAAAGGGTTGTGAGAATGTGCAAAAGCAGCTTAATGCATGCTGAAAGGAATCAGCCATCTGTAAATTGTTGCATAAAATAAAGTGGCCACAGTGTGAAATATTAAAGGCCATGAGAGAAGCTTTGGAATTAATCCAAAACAAAAAAGAAACAGAAAGTTGTTTGGGCCAATTTTGAGGGCATTAGCAGGTGTCAAGTGTGAGCAGAAGGTGATATAGAGAAGAACCCTGTTGTGATTGAAAGAGAACCTTATACAGCAGAGGAGAGAAGGATTAGTGTTGCTGGCCAAAAGAGCGGCCTACAGACTAAAGGAGATATAAAGACTTTGACAATCTAGGCAGCACAGCCAGGACCTGGGGTTGATGCTGCTGCCACTGATCTCCTTTGTCACCTCTCTCCATGTCTGTTGACTGACTGGCATGGGAGCCCATCTGCCATCTGAAGAAACAAGACCTTTTTCCTGATCTGTTCTTGCTCAATAAACACGTCCACTGCACCATTTGAAAATCAGAATGGTGTAATTGTTAGAAGCAATGCTAGGTACACGCACCAACACTGCACATCTTGCTGCCAAGCAGGCAAGCCAGCTTTATGAAGTGGCACATCCAGTGAAGTTTCCACACTCCCAATCAACAAGGTGCCTCCAAGTAGTTCAATTAACACGACAGTTTCCATTCAAATTTAAATAGATCCAACTATGCAAAATAGAACAGGTTTCTGGCTATTGGCATTCTCTGCCAACAACCTACACTGTGATGGAGAATTAATCGAATGGTTAAAACTGTCTTCGTCCAGCGCTGGATAGTCACATTGTTGAGATAGTTGAAACTATGATGATTAAATCCTGAACAATCAGCCTTGGCTTTCCGCCCAATTCAGACTGTCTTGATTGCTGCATTTCAGGTTTGATTTGAATCTGTATTGGCCTTTTATATAGGTTTATACTTTCCCAAGTCTTCAACCTGTTGGTTAAAAGATGAAACGAGCCCAGCTTGCTCTGCTGTACACAGCATGTCAGAGTAATTCAGAATTGATTGAGCTTTAACAGAATCTGTAGGTGTTGCCCAGTGGGTGGAAGATGCTCTCCTTTTCTCTTACGCTGCTTGTCTTCTGTTTGAAGTTGCAAAAGCTTCAAATTAACTGATAAAATGAATCGGCACATTTTCAAACTTGTGTTCCTAATTGAAGACCTGTTGTTGCCTGATAAACGAAGCTTTCACAACATATTTAAAACTTTCTGCAGTGCTGCCATACATCACTCTGATCTAATTTGATCTATATTGATTCCAAAGTAACACCAAATGGTCACGTTTTGTGTTTGGATGCATCCCCTGTACCAGCACATCCTGCACTAACTTTGTACTTGATGGTTGATGTTTATTACACGAGAGATTGAGGTGGTCTAAGGTGCATAAACCAGAGACTCCTTTGGTCTCCACAAATCCTTCACTTAACCAGCCATTATTCTATGAACAAGTTTCTTTGTTGCTCTATTTCTAATGCTGTGCAGTATGATGTTGGGAACTTTATGGTTGATGAAGCATTAAACAACGTGGATGTTAGAGATGAACTATTACAATAGATGTCAGGAATGAGAATTAACAATACTGGGAATAAGAGCGGAGATTTTTAATCCCATATGACTCTGGTCAGACTCAGGAGCTGGGTCTGCCTGAGCGGCTGGTCTGGGATATCAGGGAAATCCAATATATGTGTTACTTTGTAGGAATTAAAAGACTAGATTTTGGTAACAACACCAGCAAGTGAAAACGTGAAGTGAAGCCATTGAGGAAAGAGATAAACATAGAACATAGAACAGTACAGCACAGTACAGGCCCTTCAGCCCACGATGTTGTGCTGAACTTTTACCCTAAACCTAAGATCTATCTAACCTCCACCGCCAACTTATACTATCATCCATATGCCTATCTGATAGCCGCTTAAATGCCCCTAATGAGGCCGACTCCACTACCCTCTCCGGCAATGCATTCCACGCCCCGATCACTCTCTGAGTAAAGGATCTATCTCTGACGCCTCCCCAGTATCTACCTCCACTCACTTTAAAACTATGTCCCCTCGTAAAAGCTACCTCTACCGTAGGAAAAAGTCTCTGGCTGTCTACTCTATCTATACCTCTGATCAGATAAAGGAATGGAGAAAAATGAAGGAAAAGCATCCAAAGCATCTGCTCCTAAAGAACAGCCTCCAGATTGTGACACCGAGGTCGAGGTAAAGAGGAAACAAAATAAAGAGACTTGGATGAATATGCACGGAAATGGGAGAGATCCTGTTTGGGCCAGAGGGGATGTAAGAGAGTGAGAGATCTGCAATATTTGACATTGGGGAGACGGGTACATGGGCTTGGATATTCCTTAATGGATATAATTAAGAAATAGGCCTGAAATTTGGGACCATTCCTGTGCCCATTCTGCCATTTCCAAATTACCTTCAAATTTCCTGCTAATTCCATTATGCCCAAATATAAAATAATCTGCCTGGGCCGGGGGTGGGGGTACATTGGAGTCTGAAGCAGTGATGATATCACTGAACTAATAATCCAGATGCTTGTGCTGATGTGCTGCGATATGGGTTCAAATCTCAATTGATGGAACTTAAATTCAGTTTATCATTCTGGAATATCAAGATGGCTATCTGTGATGGTAACCGTCAAAGTATTACTAGTTGTTGTAAAAATCCATCTGGTTCACTATTTTACTTTAGGGCCATTCTTACCTGATCTGACCTGCAAGGGATTCTAGATCCACAGTAATGTACGTGACATTAGATGGGCATCGAGTGCAGAACCTGCATCTGTAACCTCTGAAAGATATTTTTAAAAGTCAGGCTCAAAAGAAACATTAAGTCTACAGGATAAATTCCTCTTTAAGTATGAAAATTAAAACTCAATTCATTTGACTATCATTCAAGTACATTAGGTTGCAGTTGGGAAAACTTTTTTAATTTTTCATGTATCATTTAATGCTGTGAGATTGCATTAAAAGCCACAGAAAATACAGACAAGGTCTCGGTGTGGTTTATATTTTAAAGCAGTGAAAATCAGAAAAAATATGATGCTTGAAAATCCCGGTCATAATCCGAAACGTGGCACTGAGTAATTGCAGGAACCTTACACAAAATCTTTTTAATTTGAGTTTGGGGACGGTGGGGGGTTTGGGACAGTTGTTATGGAGGAAGATAAATTTGGCAGAAGGATTAAAGGGAATGTAAACAGTCGTGGAGTTTACATGTGTTTTACTTACACTCGAAATTTAGTGACCATTCAGTCTGTGTATTTGTCTTGCACTCATATCATGCATGTCTGAGTGTGCAGATAAACAGGATATTTCAGGATATGCAGGTGAGTGGAGAAAAGACAAAGACTGTAACCCATTGAACCTTGTTATGGGGTATAAGCAGAGATAGCAATACATACGATGGTGAGGGAAAGAGTCTTGTTAAAAATAGGCAATCCTTATTGATTGAGAGAAGGATGCAGAAAAAGAGAGGACAAAATTCTGGTGGACATCCAGATATAAGATAGAGCTAAGATTTGCAGAGATTGGAGGATCTGAAACAAACTCAAAAAGCAATGGAGGAACTCAGCAGGTTCAGCAGTGGGAAAAATAAAGTTAACGTTTCAAACCTCGTGACCCGTCAGGACATCCATATGGGTACCACAAAACAGTGTGTTAATGTAATAAAGTATACAATGTTTGAAGATTAATGAAACTTGGAAAAGCAGAATATGAGGACTTCCTGGTATTGCTCACGTTGAA